CTTAGCTATGGTGAAATTGCAGTGCTTTGAGGAATAGCCAAGTGAAGAACTAAGTTTGATTATGTAAAGCATGTTGTGATTCTGTACTTGCAACCAACACACAACAGGTATCAGCTCAGTATATGACCAAGTTAAGAGAAAGCACTTGCATGTGAGTGCCATGGCCATGGAAACATCCCTGGTGTCTATTCCTCCTGCCAAGTTTGACCAGCCCGCCCCTCAGTACCCCGGCCCAACTGACTTGTGCCTGCTTTTTATTGGAAGATTTCCTGTCAGTCTGGTTTGCATAATCTAGAGGGTCTAAATCTAAATTTGAAACTTTGTTTGGTGATGGGAACCTGACTTTCACATCAATTTTCATCACCAAACAAAGTTTGGGATTTAGCAATAGAAGCTCCAGATTAAGGATCCGGGTGAGTGGAAGTCGTCCATTATTGCTTATTTTGCATCCGTGTATGAATAAATAGCCACATTCAATCATCATTCTGACTGTCTCATATTCACAGATGTCCCTGCTTGATTTCCTATCTCACTTCATGCATTCCTTTCTGTTGAATCCAATCAGCTTTTCCCTCAAATTTTGTAACTCCCCTTCAACAGCCACAACATCAATCCAGCCTCTTTCCATTACTCATGAAAGCCTGAATGATGTTTTCTATTTAGCTATCATAATCAACTCTGCATCATTGATTCCTCTTGATGAGTGCAGGGGATTGCTGTTGGGAAGAGTGTGCTGACGTAATCAGTAGCAGGCCTCCACAAAAAGAAAGGCTGTGGAAATTACCACCACAGCGATGGAATAATCGATCGGGCCACGAACAACTCCTCAAGAAAAAATTGGTCACACTAACGAATCTTCAGGCCGAGAAATAGAGCGGGGAAGTCACAACCCACAGGAAGAATCGACAAGATCAAACAAGAAAACTCACAAGAGCGTGTTAAGATGCTCAACTCAACCACCCTATCAGAGAGCTATCCAGAGAAAGAACCATCTTCCCCAACGGTAACGACCTCATTGTTGGTCCCCGGAGATTCCACTGAAGCTGCCTTCGAGGCACCTTCAATCGAGCTCCCCGTCGGACTGCCGCTCTCACATCAAGTCTTCCGAGACCCAGGCTTTGATCCAGACCAGTTCTTACTTTCGCGACGTCATACGGCATTGGAGGACTTGCGCACGGAACTGCGGAGCTACTTGGCTGGGCTCAAGTCAGAATTGGTGGGCTTGATCAACGAGGATTATGAGGACTTTATTGGACTGGGGATGGGCCTCAGGGGCACGGTCGAGCGAGCGATGGGCAAGATGAAAGCACCAATCGGACAGGCCAAGGAAGATGTCCTTCAGGCTAGGAAAGAACTCGAAATCGAACGTGCTGATCTCGAAGGTTTACTGCACGAGCGTCGTAAGGTGATCGAAGGGAAAAAACTCGTCCGATTGATGCTCGACTGTGGGGATAGCGTGACCAAGGTCGAAGAAATGCTGTCAATCCAGAAATCCCAACTACCGGCAAACCAAACCTCACTCTCATATGAGTCAAGCAACTCACTCAGCACGCCCCTTCACCGTACAGGCTCGAGACATTCCGGTTTTCAACTGTCTCTCGACTTGATTGACGATAGTAGTAACATCGAGAGCGGAGTCAAGAGGATCGAGCGGATTACAAATGAATACACTCGAACGCTTTATCTCGTCTCCAAAGGCGGTGATCTCAATTATGTGACTAGCTTACAACCAAGGATCACTCACATCACCGACGTCTTACATCGAGAACTGGCTATCCTCCTCAAGTCAATTCTCCGCACACCGCGCTCAGATGCTCGTAGGAAAAATTGTTTATTGGAATGTTTGAGAGCTTATGAATCTCTCGGCGCTGTCACCAGAGCCGAAGAGGTGATCAAAACGGAGGTGGTTTTACCCCGAATGTCTAAAGTACGGAATGCCATCTTTTACTCTGGCCTATCTTCTTTAAGTTGGTCCTCAACTAATGTTATATTTCTTGATAAGTTAATCCATCCCAACGCCCTCGATACAGGTGCACTGTCTCCCGTACTGCCAGCATCCCCAGAAGTCACCCGAAACACGACGTCTCATCCACCTGTGAACTTGAATCCCTCGCTGAGTTCTTTACGGCTGCCCGATGATCCTGAGTTGATGCCTCTGCCGATGTTATATAACAAAATCCTAGCATTTATTGCCCGTGAGATGGGTGCCATAATAGATGTTGCTGACCGTCACTTGGCCGGATCCAAACAGACCACCGAAGAGCAAGTCGACCCCGTGCAGGATAATACATCCTCACCCATGGAGACCAAGGGAGAAAATTCAACATCTCAACCCCATTACAATGTTCTCGTCCATTCAGTCATCCTACCTACCCTCCAGCTGATCACCACTTCGCTGGGGGCGAGCCTCTTCGCAGCCGGAAACCCGAGCAAGTTTCATCGGAATTACAGCTGCACGATCAAGTTTCTCGAACAGCTCGAGGAGTTCTGTAGCACCCCCCGACAAGTCCTCAGTCTTAGAGCTCATCCGGACTGGAAAGCATTCAAGAATAAATGGCAATTGGCGGTCTATGCCCAGATAAGGACTAAGGAAATGATCTTGGCAATCGAAGACGGCCTTCTGAATGGACTCAAGCCTCCCGATCCTACGCCTATCATCACCCCTGCCCCATCTAGCAACGGGCAAGATCCAAATTGTAAATCGTCCTATCTCTTAAAAGGATCTGCTACTATCGATCATGTCCTTCACTCGATCTGGCAGGATGATATCTTTCTTACAGATCTTACTCATCGGTTTTGGAGGCTCACGTTGATGGTTCGTTGAGTTAATGCCACTTCACTTACTTAGCTTCTGTGGGGAAGCAGTCAAAAAAAAACAAGCATTGGTTTTACTGCCGCTTTTATCCCATCATCACATGTTTTTGAATAAACTGATTTCCTCTTTTTTACTATAATTGCTGTGGAATGAACATGGAATTGTAGGGAATATCACGATATGCCACATGGCTGAATTCGGTGGTCGGAGGTTACCTCAATTCTTCGGCAACAGGAACAGATAATGGGAAAGCGACTGGAGCTAAGAGCAGGGTGTCGACAGAGGTGAATCGGGTCAGTGGAGATGATCTTCTGCGGTACGGGTCTGGTCTCTCTGACGACTTCGACCTCGGTTAGGTTGATGGTATGGTGTCTTGATACATATTTCTCGTTTAGTTGGCGGCTCCCTCGGCTAATCGAGCAAGCCTTACTCGACCAAGCTCCCCCTCTAACAACCTGTCCGATGAATCTAAGGATGAGGAGTTGTTGAGGATCTTGACTATCGTCTTGGCCGATCTTTCCCGCCTCCAACTCAGCATCTTGAACTTGTTCTCCGACTCCATTGCACCCCGGATCCCACAAGTTACGATCGGGGCAGACTCCCAAACACCAGAAGGTTAATGCATCTCTCATTCCCAAACCACGCAATCATGTCTGTAGTTAAAACTAGTTGGAAAAAAAAGGAAAACTGCATCACCAAAATTGAAATGTTTTTGGTGATCATTTTCCTCAATTTATAGTTGGAGACCCAATTCGATGAAACGCAGTAGATTCAAAGCTAACTATATACTTGGTCTCTTAATTTTTTTATCTGCTCTTTTGTTTGGGACGGTGGGTTTAACAGAAGTTTTGAAGGCCTCGCTGAACAAGATAGTGGGACTCGCGCCGCAGCTAACGACAGAAATACGGACGACGCTAGTGAAACGGTGCTCGGAAAAACTTCGATTTATCCGGTCTGTAGGCTCATCAGCCCGGGCATCGAAGACGATCCCGACGCAGCCGAGTTATTTCATCTCGGACATCCTGAACGACATTAAGTTTTATCTAGAGAAGTACGGCAAGCACCTAGGGGAAGAGGTTCGGAGAGAGCTGGTGAGCGGGATCATCGAAGAGCTGTCGGGAAAATATCTTGCTATCCTCATCAACGTCCAACGCTCCGAGGACTCCTTGAGGAAGCTCAAGAAGGGCAAACACGGCTTCTCAATCTTCAATCGCAACTCCACTTCTGACCCCAGCAAATCTGAGCCCCTCGTTGAAGAGGACGACCTCAAGGTTAAGGTCCAGTTGAAGCTCGACGTCGAGCGTTTGGAGCTCGACTCTATCCGCTTGGGAGCCGACCTCTCCTCCTCCAAATCGTTTCTTGAACTAAAACAAACCGTCGATAAATAATTCTTTCCCACTTCTACCCCCCCTTCTTTTGTACAGTCCATCCAAGTTATCTCTTTCTCTCTTGATTGTTCTTTTCTATTTGTTTTCTTTTTGCATCTTTTTGGTCTTCTTTTGTTTCTTTTTCTGGTACACAATCAATTTTGTATCTTTTTTTTACATTTAACCGCAAACCGAGCAAGAAGCGAGAACCTGTTATTTGAGGAAGAGAAAGATAACTATATCTGGATTCGTACTACAGGCTTGAAGACGATGCAAGAAATGTGTCTTAGTTAGAATGATGATGAGGGTGCTCGTCGACACTGAGCGGCCGACGGATGGACCCAAGACCCTTCGGCGGGCAAGTGATCGGTTTCTTTTGTGAAGGAGGGTCACCCGACCTGGTTTGCCTTTTGGCGGCTTAAACGCCATGATAAATTGCATGTCCTCTCTCATTCTGGGCCTCTCATGCGCTCCCATGGACTCTACATCTCACGTCCTCTCTTCTTCAAACCTCGGTCCCTCGCCAAACGTGACTCCCTTTTACCTCCTTCATTTTTCGTTTGACCATGGGGTCCGTCGGGGATAATAACCTAGTTTGAGTCCACTATGAATTTATTCGCCCCGGGTGTATCGGGGGTTCTAGCTCATCGGTAGAGCGCTCGCTTAGCATGATGCAATGCCACTTGCGAGAGGTACAGGATTCGACTCCCTGGTACTCCATTGATTGCGCCAGGCGAAGTCAGCCGGCCGCTGATACCGCACTTCCAAGATAAAATTTTTTGGGCCTAGCTCATTACCCGGGCGCCCCGTGTCCGAAACCACAACTCCACTCCTCCCCCGCAATTACTGCACTCTGGTACCCTGCCGCCACTTATTTCTGCTCCCCGTAACACCCAGCCCCCTCCTGTGTCTGCCTCATTCCTCAAGCCCCCCAAACCCCCCCTTGGCTATGCAGCTAGATCCAGTTTTTCCCCTGCAGTGCTCTGCAGAAAGACCCTTGTTTGCCTGACCCTCCTCCAATGGCCACTCAAGCCCCCAAAACGCCCTAATTATTTCCTCCCTGCCCACCCATTTCCATCCCACCAGTACTTTCCTCACCACTAAAAAAAGCAAAATTAATCTACTCAGCCTGGAAAAAGCTCTGAAGATAACTTCCTTTGTTTACTTTGGTTGGCCGTGAGCACCATGCCGTTAGCAGCAGCTACTGAGACATGCAGCTTCCGCATTGCCTATAAAGACTCCACACCAGCTCCTTCTCACTCCCTCATCTCCACCATTGGGGCATCCTGTTGAATTTTTTGGCGGAAGAGCCGGAGAAGGTATTTTTTATAAAGATATAAAAGACAGACAGATGTCTGTAAAGGACCTATCAACTCAACCCAAGGGGCTTAAGTGCCTTGGTAGAGAGTGCTCTGTGTTGGGGCTGAAGTGCCAACAAGAGGAACAGTGCGGTTAGAACTGATGACTTTTATTCTCTCATGAGGACATGGCATAAATAGTCTAAATACAAAGGACCAAGTTGTGGTTGTGAGAATACTAATCAGGCAGGTTGAGCACAAAAGGGTTCTAAATATGAATGGGTGACATGTTTGAGGAAAGAGATGAATAGCAAAAAAAATAAGATTTCAACACATCCTTCTGCAACAAAAAACTCTTGGTTGACAGCTGCAAATTCCACCTCCAGATCTGGGAACTGATCAAGAAAGTTGTTATCTCTTCCCCTTTTGCCCAGCCTGAGCTGGAAAAACCTGGAATTCCCAAACCATATCCCCGCAGGGCAGTGGCAGGTGGGCAGGTATATCTTTGCCCCAAAGTTCCCTGAGGGACTGAAAAATCCCTGCAGGGTATAACCATACCCGGAGGGTACTGCTCCAGTGGCCTGATTTTATTAACCAACCAAAAGTTACATCCGCCAGGTGGTGCAACAGGCCTTAGGCCTTGGTTAGTGCTTGGGGGCCAGTATTTTTTAGAGCAATTTTTCACTTCAACACTCTACATTTCAAATTATAAATACCAAACTTTTAGAATTACACTTATCATTCACCTGTCACAAGCTGTAACATGAAACTCCCCACCAGATCTTATTTAATCAGTGAATCCAGATCTGGAGTTTATCTTCAGTCAACCACACTCAACTCAATAACTCCTTGATCAGCATCTCAACCCCTCAACTATTTAACCCAATTGTTCAGAAATCTTTTTCCTTTTCTCATTCTTTCTACTTCCCTTATTTACTCCTTACCTGATCACCTCCATCCCTGATTGTTGTTGTGGAATGAAAAACCACACAGCTGATAAAATATTAGTCCTTCTCTGTTGGTTCCAAATACCCTTTGGTTTCTTCAGCATCTGCCAAGTATGAATTCCTTCCATTTTCCAAGCAGTGTGCATCTTTCAAAAGGCACACCTGTTAGCCATGGGGGATGCCTCAAAATTTTTGCCTCAGCCAAATTACTACTTGTCTACCTCCCAACTTACCCTCCAGACCTCAACCCAATCAAAAAGGTATTTTTGGATCTGAAATCTTAGCTGAAGTGTCACTGTATCCTCATCATGGGTAATAAATTTGGAGCTGAAAAAGATTTATTGCGCAAACAAGAGCCAACAAGCTGAAGAGAAAAACATCAGAATCATGAGAATATA